GGAGAGAGAGAGAGAGAGAGAGAGAGAGAGAGAGAGAGAGAGAGAGAGAGATCCTGTGAAGAAAGGTAGATTGAAGAGGTGAAAACAGTGACAAGTGGACTGAGGTTAAGTGTCACCCAGGACCGTGGCGATATCTTGGCCTGGGCTGCTGCCAAGGCCCATGTCTGATACAACAATAGGCCTAGAAGTGTGGGAGCCCGCGAGGGTCCAACATAAATTCCTTAACCTGACTGGAACGGAGTCGTGAGGAATAAAATTGACACAGCTTACACCCTCATCATGGAAAAAGCCAGAATCACCGTTTATTGTCCAAACATCTTATATACCCACACCAAATTGAGCAGGGGGGGGCACATTAAGCCATCACCTAGGCAACCAGGTGCCTGGGCTCAAGTCTCATCCGCATCTGGCAGTCAGGTAGGTCCTGAATTAGCATCTCTATAAGACATCCTCCAAATTACAAAAGGAAGGAAGACATCAGCTTTAGTCAAACATCTCTTCTCAGGTAATCCACATTTTTTTTTTTTCGAGACAGGGTTTCTCTGTGGCTTTGGAGCCTGTCCTGGTACTAGCTCTGTAGACCAGGCTGGTCTCGATCTCACAGAGATCCGCCTGCCTCTGCCTCCTGAGTGTTGGGATTAAAGGTGTGCACTATCACCGCCCGGCTTAATATGATACGCTTGAAAGTGACATTAAATCCATTATTTTGTACACTAAAAATTTTTCACTGGAAAGAAAGCAATTATATCTAAGGAAAATAATTGGGAGCCGGGCGATGGTGGTGCACGCCTTTAATTCCAGCTAGTTCCAGGACAGGCTCCAAGGCTACAGAGAAACCCTGTCTCGAAAAACCAAAAAAAAAAAAAAGAAAGAAAAAGAAAATAATTGGGGGTGAATTAATGCAAGATAACACAAAAGGTCTACTTATTTAAAACTTTGTTTTTTTTTTGTTTGTTTGTTTTGCTTGTATAGTTTCGGTTTTTCAAAACAGGATTTCTCTGTAATAGTCATTGTTGTACTGGAACTCACTCTGTAGACCAGGCTGGCCTTGAACTCACAGAGATCCTCCTGCCTCTGCCTCTCTAGTGCATGTATTACCAGTACCTGGTTTAAAACTTAATTTTTGTTGGGTATAATGTCACATACCTTTAATCTCAGCACTTAGAAGGCAGATGCAAGCTAATTTCTGGGTTCAAGATCAGCCTGGACTACTTAGAGAGATCCTGTCTCAAAAACGAGCACAAATCAAAGTTTTTAAGCTATTATTTAATTTTTTTTTTGTTTTGTTTTTGTTTTTCGAGACAGGGTTTCTCTGTAGCTTTGGAGCATGTCCTGGAACTCCCTTTGTAGACCAGGCTGGTCTCGAACTCCCAGAGATCCGCCTGCCTCTGCCTCCTGAGTGCTGGGATTAAAGGCATGTGCCACCACCGCCTGGCTTTATTATTTAATTAATTCGAGATGGGGGTTTCACTGTATAGCTCTGGCTAGTCAGGAAGTGGCTATGTAACACAGACTAGTCTTCCATCTCAGAGATCCACCTGCCTTTGCCTGAGTTTAAAGACATCACGTCCTTTGGCCTTTGTGTATATGAGTGCAGGCAGGTGTGTGAAGGAAGGTCCAACACTGTAGAGTCCATTTTATCCTTTCTTTTTGGATCCCTGGTTGGCCTAGAACTTGCTGTGTAGACTAGATTGGTGCTGTACTCAAGAGATCTCCCAGCCCCTTGTCTCCCAGGTGCTGGGATTGAAGTCATGAACCATTGCAGCTGACTTGTATTCTCTCCCCCCCACTTTTCTATTTGAGACAGGTTGTTTTTTTGTTTTTTTGTTTTTTTTTTTTATGTAAAAAGGGGTATCAGATCTTACATCTGGAGTTACAGACAGTTGTGAGCTGACATGGAGGGGGAGGAGGGTGCTGGGAATTGAACCCAGGTTCTCTGGAAGAGCATTCAGTGCTATTAACCACTGAGCCATCTCTCCAGCCCCAAGACAGGAGTTTTCTTCATAGCTCTGGCTGTCCTGGAATTGACTGTGTAGACCAGGCTGGCCTCACACTTGATATCTCAGCCTCCTGAGTGCTGAGAGTAAAGCAATGGACTTTTACTTGATTCTGGACTCAAGTCATCAGGCTTTCCTGGAAGTAGATTGTACCCACAGAGCCATCTAGCTCAGCCCAAGGACAATAATGTGACACAGTTACATGACTATCTGCCTATATAAGGAAATCCTACTTATTTAAGAGTTGTTGGAAGGTTCTCCTTAGGGATCTCTCCAGCCTTGTAAGATAATTTAGGAGGTGCAAAAGTAGAACCTTAGATGTGTTCTAAGAGTTTAAGGGTCTTTTTACTTTTTATTTATTTTTTAAGGATATTGAGAATTAAAGGAATCCAGTTGGGACCAATGCCTGTTTTGAGAGTTCCTTGGCAGATCCACATGTGCCTGACTAATGCTGTAGGGAGGAGTCCTACGGCAGAGTCTTTCACGTGTTTTTCTTATTGGCTGAAAATTCTGTTGAACCTTTTTTTCTCCTAGGGGTTGCTGCTGGCATCACAGCCATTCCACATCATCTACTTTAGAGTCTCTCTCTCTCTCTCTCTCCTAGGAATCTTAATTTGTCCGGTTTTATATTCTATTTACATGTCTTGGCTCCAGATGAGTTCAAACTGTTGGTTAAAATGGTCCTTCAAATAACTAAGATTGGTAATGGTTCAAGACTGAAAAGGAGCTTACAGGTTTAGGAAGAACAATAGATGAAATATGTGTAACATTGAACATAGCTGTTCTCAGATATGTAGATTTCAATCTACATTGAAAAATCACATGTATTTTCAAGACCACTTAAAGCCAAGCATGGTGGTATATGCCTGTAATCCTAGCTTTCAGGAGGCTGAAGCAGGAGAATCATGAGTTTAAGAATAACCTAGTCTATATAATGATTCCTTGTCTCAAAAAATACCAAAACAGCAAAAAGAAACCTTCCAGGACTAGAGACATGGCTCAGCAATTATGAGCACTTGTTGCTTTTGCGAAGGATCCGAGTGCTGTTCCTACTACCCACATGGTGTCTCACATTCACTCTCCTGTTCTGACCTCTATGTGCTTAATGTACATGTAGGCAAAGTACTCATACATAAAAGCAAATCTCTTTTATTTTGTAAATTATTTTTAATTTGTTATGAGATAGGTCTCAAGTAGCCCTGGTTGGCCTAGAACCCATGATGTAAATAGATTAAGCTGGCCTCAAACTTATAGCCATCATTCTGCCTCTGACTCCCAAGTGTTGGAATTACATGTACCATCCTAAGAAGTTGGGGAACTACCATACAGCCTTTCTAGTCTGTATCTTCATTGCTTCCTAGTCAATATCATGGTGCATTTTTTCAGTGGTTTAATATTTGAATGCAAAGATGTGGTATTACATAGTCTTTTGACATTATACCTCAAGAGTGGTGATATATTTTTTCATGCACCTGATCTTTATTGGTTGGAATAAATTTAAAATTTTCGGGATGTAAATTCTGTTCTTTTTTGATGGTGTTATGGACCTCAATATGAAATTGTTTCTTAGGCAATAACAACAGTTTTACGTTATGCTGCCTCCCAACAGAAGAGCCATGCCATCTCCTTTATCTTGAGTCTTAAAAGTATTGTATCAGCTTATTTTATTGAGCTAGTTAAATTATGAGATGGATTTCCTCTTTGTTGTACTTTATATACCAGATTCTTTGAAAACTTTTTGTTGCTTGTAAAGATTTACTTTTATTTTGTGTATGAATGATTTTGCCTGCACGTATGTATGTATTCCATGTGCATACCTTGTACCCATGGAGGTCAAAGGGGGTCAGATTCCCTAGAACTGGAGTTGTAGACAGTTATGGGCTTTTTTGTGGGTGTTGGGAACTGAACCTGGGTCCTCTACAAGAGCAGCAAGTGCTCTTAACTGCTTAACTTCTGGGCCATCCCTCTAGCCCTTTTGTTGTTTTCAGAGATAGTCTGACCTCAGACTCATAATCCTACTTCAACCTGGGACTATGGGTATACGCCACCACCTTTGAAAACTCCAGAGTATTTCACTTAGGGCTTTCTCTTTTCCTCCCTTTCTCTCTTTATTTCCTCAGTGCTTTTTTGTTTGTTTGTTTGTTTGTTTTGGTTTTTTTGTGGTTGTAGTTTTCATTTTTTTTTTTGGTGGGGGGGCATGATCTCTCAAGTAGTTTGGACAGTCCTGGAGCTTGCTGTGTAGACCAGGCTGGCCTCAAACTCAGATCTTCCTGCCTCTGACCTAGAATCTAGAGTCTTTGGATTAAGCTTGGATTAAAGGTGTTGGTTTCCAGGCCTTTTTTTTTTTTTTAAATAGAGATATTGTCCATTCTACTTGAAGTATCTCAGTTCATTGTAGTTTATAAAGGGAAAATGTTCACTAAGACAAGTATTTGGTTATTCTAGGATTTTCAAAGGTCTTTGAAAGCTTCTCCCTGCCTCTTGTTAATAAGCTTACCAGTTTGTGCAGCAAACTAACTTAATCAGTAACACTACATACTATT